CTCGGGTCCAGCTTTTTTCGCACTGATACTGGAGGCGGCGGCCGATGGTGCGGTTGCCATGGGCCTACCAAGAGCAGAGGCACAGATGATGGCTGCGCAGACCATGAGGGGAACCACTGGGCTCGTGCTAAACGGCGAGCATCCGGCGGTGCTGAAGGACAAAGTCTCAACGCCTGGTGGTTGCACCATCGGTGGGCTCATGTCTCTCGAGGAAGATGGCGTCAGGGGCGCCGTCGCAAAGGCAATTAGGGAAGCGACTGTCGTCGCATCGAGATTGGGTGGTGAGCAGAAGGAGTTTGTAAACCACAGGCGGTAAATATGTCGAAGCTTCAAACCCTGTGACGGCTTCGTCCCAACATCCCAGATTTCACAGAATAAACGATACCACAATTCCACAACGTATCCATCTCCGGACAAGAATTCTTAATTATCGTACCTAAGCCTACGCTGATTACTGCGTATACAGCATACATGTTCGTCCATATCTTCTGACTCATGTCTCAAAGGGTATAATACAGATAAGTAGAGAAAGGACCTCAGGTCTCCCCCAGCAGTTCCCCCAGATTGAGCATGTCACTGTCTCGTAGCCATATCGTGCCTTGTCATAGCCCAAAAGACCCGTCTGGAAACCGGTGCGCATATGGCCAAAAGAGCCATCTTACCGCCTTTCCCGCTCCCGCTCCATCATCTCGCGCTCGACATCGCCTTCAGTCCTCACACCACCACGTCTAGCCTTGGCGTTCTTACGCAGTCCCGCTGTAAAGAGGCTGGCAATGTTGTCGTCACCCGTCGCACCAGACTTCCTGCGCTTGTCACGATGCGCGGCGGGGCCTGTGGGAGGCTTGGCATCAGCTTTGGGGCCTGTGGGTACCGGAGCCTCGTCGTCAAAGTCGTCTCTGCTACGCTTACTCGAGAGCGTAGGGCGGGATGAAGGAGAGATGCGTGATTGAAGGGACTTGCTGGAGCTGGGTGGCTTCTCTACGCGTTCGCGACTATCTCGCTCTCGGGCGTTGCGCTCTCGCTCAGCGGCATAATGGTCTTGGAACGTTTCTTTGTCTTTGGATGAAGGGCCGGTTGGTATAGTCGATGTAGAAGTGGCGCTGGTTTTACGACGGTGATCCCTAGCTTCGCCGCTTCGGTCTTTGTTTCGATCAGCAGCCGGACCCTTGGGTGGCTGGAAAGCTCGTGGGCCGGTAGGAGGTTGGGCCGGTGGAGGCATGACCGCGTTCTTTGAGCGACCCTTGATGCTGAAGCCATTTGCCGAGGGCCCGGTTGGTGCGTTCAAGGGCGGAGACATAGCGCGTTTCTTCATCATCTGACCGACGACATCCTCTTCCCTCTCCAATTGAGATGGCTTGTCTTTGCGCTCATGATCATCGTACTCGCGTCGCTCGCGATCGCGATCTTTGCGACTACGGCGTGAAGAGCGGTGATTGTCGTCCCCATAATCACGCTCATCGTCTTCACTTTCACGATCGCGACGCCGCCTACGGTCCTTGTCCTTATCCTTGTCGCGGGAGCGATCCTTCTCGCGGTCGTAATCATAGTTGCGGTCTCGCTCTCGCTCTTTACGATCCTTGCGGTCTCGTTCACGTTCCTTGTCGCGTGAGCGGTCGCGCCCGCTCCTGTGCTTGCGTCGTGAACTGCCATCAGAATCCTTTTCGCCATTGCCGTACGCTTCTTCGTCTTCATATTTGTCTCCCTCACGAGGTGATCGGGAGCGATGGCGACGACGATGCTCCTTGCTCCGGTCGCGGTGGGACCGCGATGAACGGTGCTTGTCCTTGTCACGACGGCTGCTACGATACTTGGAGTCTGCCGATGCAGTTCGTGTACGGTCACCCCGACTGCCCTTCTCGTCGCGGTAACGATCATCATACTCCGGGTCACGGTCATCATAGCGTGACGATCGATGGTGCTTGCGGTCTTTGCGATCCTCGTATTCGTTGTTCAATGGCGAAACGGATCTACCGCGGTCATCGCGACGAGAATGACAGTCTGCAGAACGCGATCGGTCACGTTGCTCACTTCTGTCATCACCCTTCGTTCGTGATTGTGGTCGAGAAGGCGTGGGTGAGCGTTCCTTGACCCGCATACTCTCATCTCGGAGAGGTGACCGCCTGCGTCATTGTCAGCCACTGCTTGTACTTCATTCTCCATCAAATCTACTTACGATCGAACTCTACGCTGTGGGCTAGCAGCTGTCGCATCTTGAGCAGACGCGACGCTTTTGGGCGGTGGCGGGGCTGCATATCGCCCACCATGGGCACGACTCGAGAAACCAGTGTTGGGTCGACCTTCTCTCATCGCGCGTGGTCCAGTTGGCGCGCCTGCAACACCGACACCAATCGGTTCCGTTGGCTGACCTGTCAGAACTGTCGCTGCACCATAAGCCCCGTTATTGAAGCCGCCACGTGGACCATAGTTGCCATTGTATCCCATAATGTTCATGCTGGGGTCGAAGGCTGCATTCATGTGCTGATCCGGGAACTGATTCATCATTCCTTGAGGGTATGGCACACCAGGGCCCATCATAGACTGGTCGTACTCTCGCATGTCTGCATCGCCAGAGTCTACAGTTTGTATAGGCTTCAGACCGCCGTCTTGAGTCTCGCATTGTGGACCACCCCCTGCCTGGTTAGTGTCGTCGCCAGCAGCTTCGCTAGCATTGCCAGCACCAACCCCATCTGCTGAAGTCTGTGGTTCGAGCGATACTGGGATATCGTCGACGATGTCCTTACCTTCTTCAGTTGGATCTGCGGACGCCTTCGACTGCTCGCCCTCGGCCTTCACCTCAGGAGCAGGGTTGGCATTTCCGTCAGGCGACTGGTCGTCACGCTGTGTAGAACGAATCGGGTCAGTTTTTGGTTTCCAAGTTTGGCCGATTCCCGTGTATGGGTTCGGTAGCTTTCGTTGGTGGGTTGAACGTACGTTTTGCAAAGGACCGCCACGGCTGCCCGGACGACCAGGCGCATTCTGGCAACCCGGACCAAAGCCACCCTGGCTGCCATTCTTGTTGTTTCGCTGAGGATGTGCTCCTCCTTGATTGGCATGGAAACGATTGTGGTTCTGGTTTGGGAAATTATTCTTGGGAAACTGGTTCATCATCTCGGGATATGCTCCAGATTGATTAAAGCCACCCAGCTGATTGGGCCCGCTGAAGTTTCCATAGCCACTGCCCATACCATTCCATCCATTGCCATAGCCACCACCGTACTGCATCATGTTCATGGCAGACATGTCGTTCATGCCCAAGCCCATGTTCCCTCCAAAGTTGCCGTACATTCCGTTCATGTTGTTGAAATCTAGCAAGGCATTAGTCGCCTGCAAGGAAGGCAAGGTTATTCCAAAGACATACCCATAGGATTCATGCCGTTCCAGCCGCCGTTGGCCATGATATTAGGCATCCCGTTCCAAGCCATGCCATTGCTGAAGCCGCCCTGATTGGGGAAGCCGAAGCCCATCTGGCTTTGCACGCCGCTCATCGGCGGGTTGTTGCCAATCATGCCATTAGTTCCGTTGGAGGGTCTTTGCTCGTCGGTCGAGCTGTCGGCCGCTGAAGGTCCCGTGTTCTTGGTCACGCTCTGGGAGGCGGTGCTACCGCGCCGCTCAGTCTCCATCTCAGGAGAAGCATTTTCCTGATTTGGTCAGCAAGAGCGCGAGTGCAGTGGAAAGCATCTCCGGTCATTGGCACGTGTGGCAACCATGTTTTGCAATGCTTAGAGGCCCGACGATGTCTCTTCTGCTTGGTTTCTTCTTCTTCTGATTGTACAGTACCCGCATGCTCGCGCAAGAGCGAAATGAAAGACTTTCACAACCTACCTCCTTTGGTTGGGCCGCGGCCGAGCCGGCGCGCTGTCCAGCCTCTTCTGGGGCCTCGGCAGAACCAGCAGCTTGTTCAGCAGCACCGCCTTCTGCCTTGTGCGCATCCTCAACACTGTCTACGGGCTGCTCTGTACCATCACAGACCGGCGAGACCTCAGGCGCGGCCGGTGTCACCTCGACGGGCGGGGTGGCTGCCTGTGCCGCGGCCTTGGCCTCTTCCTTCTTCTTCTGTTTTTGTAGCCACACTCGCATCGTGTTACGCAGAGACTTGTTCGGTGTGCAAGAGTCGGCCTCGAGCGGTGAGTGGTCGCACGAGGGACACGCTGTCGGGAACTGGAGGTTTCCTTGACCTGGGCCGCGTTAGCGCCTGCGAGAATCTCCGGCAGCAGCATATGGTGTACGCACATGGTGAGCATATGGATTTAGCACAGCAGATCAGCTTGTATGAGTCGAACGCAAGCTCGTTACATAGGGCGCAGAAGAAGTTCTTCGGGAAGGCCGTCGTGGGGAGCGACCTGCTTACGTTAGTATGAGTTCAGAGCCTAGGCATTTCGCACGTACACAGCAAGCTCTCTCAGCTCGTCGGCGAGCGGCGCCGCCTTGGGATCGGTTGCGGGGTCGCCCATGGTAAGGCCCGACAAGTTCGCGACTTGGGGTCAGGCTGCCGTGTAAGAGTTGGAACCGATGTTTGCGCCAGACGTTACTCCATCAATGGGAAATGGCGGATGAGAGACAAGAAAAGATGGAAGCAAGACAACCCCTCGATGCAGGCGCAGGCAAGCAGGCAGGCTTGTTTGCAGGCGCGGACAGACGTGTTTGCGGAGTGACAGCTAAGTGAGTCGCGGAAGTTTTCTGGAAGTCGCGACCGACCGACGGGTCCGTGCGCAGCTCCGCTAATTTCCGTCACGTGCGAACCGCTCCGTGCCTCGTTCGAGCAAGTCAGTGTTTGGGTGTCGCTCCGCCTGATGTGACTCCGGCTTCACGTCTTCCAGAGGTTCGCAGGTTGCCCGGTCGAAGCTCAGGGAAAGCATGATCAATGCGGAACCGTTAGATGTGGCGCTAAGCGATTGTGGCTTAGCCGGACCCTTGTCAGCGTCATCGCTATTCCAGTCCTGAACGGTGTCGCTAGGCGTGCTCGTGGCTGAGATACTTTGTCCATCCTCTACTCTGTAAAGATGATACTGAGTCAAATTTCTTATCTGGACTGCATAGCTTTCCTCGTCTTTCTCGCTCCCCAATTGTTAGTCCAGATCGGGCTCCTGCCACTCTTGACATGGCTGATACCAGCTTTGCCATCTCTGGGTAAGCTACAACATGTCATGTACGTGGGCATACTAATACTCACAGCTCCCAAAGCCGTCGCCATACCGTACCAGTTCATTCGTGAACGCTTCTTCGTATCACATCAACATCGTGCCCCTTTCGTGCAGAAGGCAACGCCTTTCCAGGACTTGGTCATCCGTTTCGTTCGCTATGCATTCGCCAACATGCCCGCCTTTCTGGGGCGTGTCTTTTTTTCCAAAGCCGTGTCACTCCCTTTCTTGAGGTTTCGTATGCTGAGACACGGCATCGTCACCAGTCCTATCAGGTGGACTGAGATTAAAAGGCCAAACTTTAGAGGTGTATGGATAGTGCACAACCAGCAAGAGCAGCCAGATGTAATTGTATACTATTGTCATGGAGGTGGCTTTTCCATGGGGAGTAGTTTCTTCTATATGGAGTTTCTACTCGCTTGGGTTGCAATGCTCAAGAACGCTGGGTACAGCAATCCGGCTCTATTCGCTTTGGAATACACGCTCGTCCCAGACGCTACATACCCTACCCAACTCCACGAGACGGTCGCAGGCTACGAATACGTTCTATCGCTAGCTCAATCTTCAGTTCGTGTCGTCGTGGGTGGAGACTCTGCGGGCGCAACCCTCATCTTGAGCTTTCTGCTATACATGTCTGACCACACGGACTTGCGACATCAGAAACCTGGCCTTGCCATCATGATCAGCCCGTGGGTCACGATTCTATCGCGCGAAAATCGAAACACAGAATCCGACTATCTCAACAGTTCATCGTTGGAGCTATACGGCCGTCAATACATCGGCAGCAAGGTGTCAGCAGATGATCCAATCGTTTCACCCGGAACGTGCAGAGATTTGAATAAGTGGAGAGAGGCTAGTCCTGAACAAGGATGGTATTTCCTGTATGGTAGTGAAGAAGTGCTTGGGCCGGAGACAAGGCGCCTGATCAGCTTATTGGAAAAGACCGGAAAAGAGGTAGACAGCTGGGAAGAGCCGGGAGGTATTCATGCATGGCCTGTTGCAAGCTTATACCTTGGGGAGACGAGAGAGGCCAGACTGAGTGGTCTGAAGAGTATTGTAGAAGCGATCAAGAACAGGATACATTCATGAGACTGGAGGTGGTGGAACCCAGCCAAGACATACGATTCTTTGTCTGACGTAACCTTGCAATTAGTAAAGTCATTTCAGTTTCTTGCTATCGGTATTCACTGAGGGGGATAGCCTCGCTTTTGCGAAGGCTGTAGTGGTTCTGAACGAAAGCACACCTTGAGGATATCATTTGTGTTCAACACGCGTATCCAATCAGATGCCAAAACAGGGCAACTGCTATGCTGCATCCCAAGGTCGTTTCTTTAGTTGTAGTCTTACAAGACGTTGTGCACCAGAACACTACCGAGGTAATAAGCAGCCATCAACTGCGAACAAGATTGAAGTATCTACAGAGACGCAGCATAAGAGTTCTCATCACTTTCTTGGGCGTTTAGGCCCCACCCTTGCCGTTCGTTGTGCTGGTTGACTAATGGGTTTTCTTCAATGTACTTGTCCGGGGAAAAAGAATAGAAGCAATCTAAACGCACATTTCAACGTTGTTACTGCAGCTGCCTTCCAGCAATCAGTCCATCATCAAAGCCATCGCACTTGTGCCGAAAAATAGGTGCACCAAATCAAGATCTTACCGTATACCAAGGTGCTATAACGATAACTTGCCCGACCAAACCCAGGCTCTAATCCGAGGCAAAGACGGACCACATCCTTAGTCTGACAGTCCAATACGCGTTGGAATAGCTTAATATGCTTTCAAATGCAGGCAGAGGGTACGGCTACATTGAAATACCGTGACAACTATTTTTCTCCTAAGTGCAAAGCAACGACACCCGTTACATCGCATTGCCGGGTGCATCATAGGCGATGCATTAAAAAAAAGCCCAATCGTTTAGTATAAATCTCTCTGCGCCAGGATATGCCCTAGTTTATGTAACTAATGTAACTGCTTTGTAGAATGTCTGACCGAACATTTGTAGGTGGACGGTTTCCGGCAGAGTCAGCATGGCGGATGCTTGATACTGCTCTTGCGGAGCCAAGGTGCAAGGCAGGTGGCGTGCTAGCAAATGCATCGATGAGGACACCACGTGGGTGGGTTAGATGTGGGGGCTGTGGATAAGTCAATGATCAGGCATCAATTCAATAGGATATATTTTGACTATTTTTAGAATCATCTACATGATCTTCGATGGGCCGGTAACTCAGTGGTAGAGTGTAGGACTGCAGTTGAAACGAAATGCTACCTTCCCGAAGTCACCGGTTCGACTCCGGTTCGGCCCTTGACTCTTTTTGCTCGGCTATCTTTCTTTTTTGATACAGGTGCATTCGTCTCTCTGAGGCTATAAAAGCAACATATCTTGTTCTTAATGCATTTCCACGGAAGCATACGTCCGCCTTCTTTCTTCATTTTTTTTCAACATAGGCACTTGCTGTATTCTCTACTGAAAGGTCACAGAGACAGCTTTATGTATTTTAATGTGTACAGCGTATCGCACACATGAGTTTTAGTATCAAAGAGCACAGACCTGTACCCTAGAAAGAGAAGACAGGATGCATAGCGACAGCTCACTCACGAACGTGTTGCATCTACAGCGAAATGCTGTGTCCTTGTAATATGGGTATTCAGACAAGTAATCTACACACCTGCACACATGGCATAGTATAAGCCCCACTCACCGTATTCTTACAAAAGTATATATACATCTCTCCCTGCACCTGGTGTGACTCGCACGTCCTTGCCACGTTCTATAGCATGCAAGTCACACGAGCCACTCGCATCTCCAACCTTCAATGCGCATTCGTCTACTCCCATCTCGTCTCTTTCTTCAACGGCTTTTCCCAATCCTTGATGTGGTCTGAGATGACCTTCGCAGCCTGTTCCGCCGTGAAGTTGCGCCCGATGGCTTCGACAAAATCGCCTTCTGGGTCTGGTAGATCTGTTAGCCTATGTACGTGCAACCTGATCACAGTAAGACTACATACCCATCAAATAGAAGTAGATACTGTGATCAACCAGGTAGTCTTGACCAGGCTTGACGTCCTTGGGGGTGCTGAAGTACACCCGATACGCTTTACATGTATCCTTGATCTCCTCGTGAGTGCCTGTCAAGCCGATGAAGTCAGGATGGAACTCTGCCAGGTATTCCTTGAGCACCTTGGGGTTGTCGCGTGCAGGATCGCATGTGATCATAACGGGGAGGATGACGTTGCCGCATTCGGCGACGACTTTGTCGTACATGAGAGCCATTTTGTCGAGCTCGTCGGGGCAGATGTCGGGACAGTGAGTGAAACCAAAGTAGACCTACGACACTGTTGTTAGTGTAAATGCTCACACTAGGGCGAGGGCGATGTCGTACGAGGGAGTATTTGCCTAGCATATCCTCGTTGCTGAATGGCTGGCCGTTGTGGTCTTGGAGCTGGAATGGACCGCCTACTTTAGGCTTTCCGATACCCTTTGTTTGCTCGGCGATTCGCTTTCTTGCCATGCGCTCTTTCTCGTATGTGAAGTAGGCCCATAATCCTCCACCTGCTGCGACGAAGAGGATGGCTGCTGTGAGATTGAATGGCTATGAAGCGTTAGCCTTTGATCGGGCGTCTAAGTACTCCCATCTGGTACATAGCTCCTTGGATATCGAAACGTACCCCGCCCTTGTTCCTGGCCCGGATCTGATCTATTGTCTTGAGCTTGCTCCGTGGTGTCGATTGCGAAAAACCCCTTGTGTGTCCTTGGCAGCTACTTGCAGCGTTCCTTGGTCCAATGCGCGTTGTCTGTAATTCCCTCCGACACGTTGCGTTGCCCGCTGATGGTTTCCGCGACGATGCGACCGGACTCGATGTGCTAAAGGCGAATGTTCGATGCGTAACGCGCGCCGCTCGTGGACCTGAAATACTCCTCACAGCCGTGGCCATGCATTTCATTGGTGCAGCCATTGGGGTGTTGATGTTGGAGACTGTGTGACGCCGTGGTGTTGCGAAATGGTGCTGCGGCAGACTTTCGATGATTTGGGATGTGAACTGGCGCGCTCGGGCCAACCTCGAATGACATGTTGCTCCTCCGTACATCCAAGGTACACCACGTCACCACGAAAGTACAGATGGAGATCCATAAGCGGAGGTCCTAACGATTACTTGAGCCAGGGGTCACGTCAACAAATAAGAAAGTGCCTTTGGAAGGAGTGTAGCAGAGAACTGGTGGGATGTTTATTTGATACCGATAGCTTTGAGAAGCTCCTCTTTCTGCGTTGCCCCAATGGCTCCTTCTGTTTCGACGCCCTTGACGACATGGCTCATAGTCTCCATCTCTCTGACGCCGGCACCATGTGCAAAGTGCCAGAGCTCTGCTTCTTCATACCGTACCTGGAACGCTTGCCAGTTCTGTGCTTTTAGCGTGTTGACATGCTCTGTGACAGCTACGGAGGGGCCGGAGTAGACAAGCAAGCCAGGATATCCAGGCTTGGTGAGCCCAGACACGGGTGGCACTGAAGACGGAGGTGAGAGTGCAAGTTTGCGTTTGTTGGTATTGAGAAGGTGGTGCAGCCATACAATGACTGTCTTGGAGGTGTCTAGACTCTGGTCGGCCCCTGCGGTCGAGCCGCTGTGTGATTCAGCAGGAGCAGAATCGAGCATGTGCCGAAAGGCAGCGAGGATGGCATCGAGGGCCTCTTCGCCTTGGGCCAGCCCAAGCCCTGTGACGGCATATCTAATGCGCGTCCGCAGGTCGTGCTTGGCTGCGTCAGTCGCAGAGATGATGTCGGGCGACCCTGATGCCGGATACGACTCGGGCAAGCGAAGAAGGAGCGAGGCACGATCATCTTGGGAGAAGCTTAATTCCCGTGACTTGGGATGATAGTGCGTCTGGTGGGGATACATGGCATCTAGCAGCAGCAGCTCGGTTTCAAGGCGGGCGGCAGCGTCGTCTGCCATGGTGGATGCAGGCGGGTTGCCTGTGTTTGCAGGATCTACATGAAGGCCGGCGTGTGGGAGGCTGGACGGGCGCTGGTGGCTACAGTGAAACCAACACCAAAGAGCTTTCCCGATGCGGCTAGGAGCAGACGCGGAACGTCCGCGCTCCAACCACCTGGGCACCCAGAGACACAGGCAAACCATCCATCTGCCCTCCGCACCGCCAGCCCAGAGCCTCACCCGCATGCCCTGCCCTCCTCCCGCCAACATCACGACCCGTCACGTGCAGCCAGCACCCACGGACGCCCTACGCCTGCGCCTGTGTGCGGAATGAGCAGCGGCCCCAGCGACGATGAAGGCTGCTCCGCTCCTGGTGTCCTGGCACAACGAGAACGCGCCCATCTACTCGGCGCACTTTGAGCCCCACGGCAAGGGACGCCTGGCGACAGCGGGCGGCGACAACAACGTGCGGGTGCGGCAGTCCCTCCCCGCGAGCAGCATGGACTTGCGCTGACCTGTACAACAGCTCTGGAGCGTCGAGGCGCACGGCGAGGAGCGCACCGTCACCTACCTGTCGACGCTGGCCAAGCACACGCAGGCCGTCAACGTGGTGCGATGGTGTCCACGGGGTACGCCTCCTGCCCACGTGCAAGAGAGAGCAGCAACTGACGTGCCCTAGGCGAGATGCTCGCGAGCGCCGGCGACGACGGCAACGTGCTGCTCTGGGTCCCCGCCGAGAAGCAGGCGGCGCACAACTTGGACGAGGGCCTCGAAGACAAGGAGACGTGGCGAGTCAAGGCCATGTGCAGGTCCATAGGCTCCGAGATCTACGACCTGGCCTGGTCCCCTGACGGCGTCTTCTTCATCACAGGCAGCATGGACAACATTGCCCGCATCTACAACGCTCACACTGGTACGCCCCGTGCCCAGCCACCACGTCCCCGATAGCTGCTCAATCATGTCTAGGAAGCATCGTGCGGCAGATTGCCGAGCACAACCACTACGTCCAGGGCGTTGCCTGGGACCCCATGAACGAGTACATTGCAACCCAGTCGTCGGACCGCTCCGTCCACATCTACACCCTGAAGAACAAGGACGGCCACTTCTCGCTGGCCCAGCACAGCAAGGTCACCAAGATGGACCTGCCCGCCCGCCGCGTCTCTTCCAACAGCCCGGCGCCCCCAGACTTCGGCAGCCGCGCCTTTGCCGCTGATGCTGCCATAGCAATCGGCTCGCCCGTGCCGTCGATGCCCGGCACGCCCCAGTCGCTGGCCCTGCCCACGATGCATCCGCCGCCGACCTCGCACAGCCGTCGTTCGTCCTTCGGCTCCTCTCCATCCATGCGCCGCTCCGCCTCGCCCGCTCCGTCCATGCCCCTGCCCGCCGTCATGCCAAACTCCCCCAGCATTGGCACCATGGGCACCATGGGCCTCCGCAACGCGCCCCTCTACTTCAACGAGACCCTGACCTCCTTCTTCCGACGTCTTACATTTGCCCCGGACGGCAGCTTGTTGTTCACGCCGGCAGGCCAATACAAGGCCGTGCATGCGTCCGTTGCTGAAGCCAAGCAGACCGACGACATCACGAATACAGTCTACATATATACCCGGGCCGGCCTTAACAAGCCACCCGTCGCCTATCTGCCCGGCCACAAGAAGCCCTCGGTCGCCGTCCGTTGCTCGCCCGTCTACTATACCCTGCGCCAGTCTGCCCCACCCACCAGGCACATCACCATCGATACTTCAAATATGGACGATGAGATTCCTTCTCTGCCTGATCCAGTCATGCCCTCCAAGCCCCCTACCTCGCATTCATCCATGGACCCCCCGCCCATCACGAGTGCGCCTTCTCCCTCGCCTAGCCTATCAGCGCCGTCGCCCAAGCCCGCCGATGGCGAAGCATCCGCTCAATCCGGCCTGCCCCCCGGGCCTCCGTCTGCCTTTACACTGCCTTATCGCATGATGTATGCTGTCGCAACACAAGACGCTATCCACATCTACGATACGCAGCAACAGAAGCCCCTATGCATCGTCAGCAACTTGCACTTTGCTACCTTTACAGACATCACCTGGTACGTGCCGAGGCCCGCTTTGACTCCCAGTTCACTTACCATTCAATAGGTCAAATGACGGCTCCATGCTGCTGATGACCTCGTCGGATGGCTTTTGCTCATCCATCACATTTGCTCCTGGCGAACTAGGCGACAAGTACACGGGTCCTTTAGCTGTTCATAGCCGACCACAGCAGACACCTGCTGCCATCAACACCACGGGGGGGCACACATCAAACAACTCTACCCCGACTCCTACACCAACAAACGGAACCATGCCAGGCACCACAACGGCTACTGCACCACCAATGCAGAGGCAACCCTCTGCAGGCTTCCCGGCCTCTCCGAGCTCTTTTGTTCCCGCAAGGCCTGGAAGTCCCACAAGAAGCAATTCAGTATCCAGTATTGCTACTGCTTCATCCTTTGCGCCCGGTGCAGGTGACCAAAGCAACATGAACGCCCCAACGCCGGCTATGTCATCAGTGCCTAGTATTGCTGCTGCCAATTCTGGACCTGTACCGATGTGGACACCGCCTCTGACCCCAGCTCACGGCCAGGGCACGACGCACAGTGCAAGTAGCTCGGTCAGCGGGGTACCAAGCACTGCCCATGTTGGGCGAAGAGAAAGCGAAATGAGCGAGTCAGACCGCGACGATGCATCTTCGACTTCCAAGAAACGAGATTTGTATGCTATGCCGGAAGTTGATGCAGATGCGCGAGAGAGTAAGCGACGAAGGATTACACCAACACCGGTCACGATGGTCGCGGAAGGCGACAGTGCTATTGCCAGCACCGAAGAGAGTACTCCGACACAAACACCCGGGCAGTAGGAACTATTACATGGGATCCTCTTGTTTCCGATGCATTTCATCATTGTGTACATCTTGTCTTCAGCAAGGCGTTTAGGATACCAGGGCTATATTTACGGCGATATCATGTACAGATTCCTTTCTTTCCTTGCTAATGCTGTAATAGTGGGGCGCCATCACGATTATACCAAAATTCCCACTGCGCGAAGGCGCATGTAGTCGTACTCCACAATACAGATTATAGTCAAGTCAAATACATATACATTGCAGATGGAAAGACCTGAACTCATCTCCCTAGGTGGCCCAGTTGGTATTGCAGATTTCACGCCACTGAGGCCATCTCCGTGCTCAGAGACGTTGCGCGCAACTCGAGAATGGTCGACTGCCGATTCGACGGAACGTTCTTGTGCTCGTTCGCACCTTCCCACGTTGGTATCGCCCGTATCACAACCCAAGGATTTCCAAGAGCGATCGCCTTAGCTTATACCCCTGTCACGAACAGCCGATTATGATGCCGACCAATCAAAGCGTAGCTACGAGCTGACAAGCGCATTCCTTGGGTTGTTGCCATTGGTGCAGCCGTTCGGACCAGGCGAACAACGTGGTGAGTTCGGACGTTGCATTGGGCACAGCATCGGAATAGTCTTGTCCTTCGCTGCAAGTGCCAGCAAGATACATGGATCTACCTTACACTCGGTGCCCCTCTATTTGGCCTTTCTCTTTCTTCCCAGTCGTCGCGTGCACCTCTCACATTTGCAAAGAGTTGGAAACTTTGTACAGTGCATTCGGAGATTGAGGTGTGGTATAGTAAGATGGACGATCAGAGCAAAGTTCACGACGGGAAAGTGCAAGAGCACGAGCACGATGTTGAACACCAGCACGCCTGCGGTGAAACGAGTAGCTTGGGTAAAGACGACATCTTACAACTCGAGCACACTGGTCCTGTGCTAAATGCCAAAATGCATCTGGTTAACAATGCGATCGATGAGGTAAGCTTGTTGAGAGAAGACTCTTGTGGGTGTGTACTGATTACAGTCCCCAGATCGGTTTCACGACGTATCAATGGAAGGTACTTGATGTGTCTCTGACATCTTTGAGCATTTCTAATAAGGCTTAGCTCTTTGTCCTGAATGGTTTTGGCTACGCCGTTGACTCCCTCATCCTACTCATTCAGTCCGTCATCGCCGCGCAAGCCGCCCTTGAGTTCAAGCCTTCCTACCGAAACGGCCTGACCATCGCTGCTTACGTCGGAATGCTCACGGGAGCCTTATTCTGGGGCTTATCGGCCGATATCATCGGCCGAAAGACAGCGTTTAACGTTAGTTTGCTGATTTGCTCGATCTTTGCAATTGTGGCTGGAGCAAGCCCAAATTGGGAAGTCTTGGGCTTGTTCGTATGTTTGAGTGCTTTTGGCGCCGGAGGGAATTTGGTGTTGGATACGGCAGTGTTCTTGGAGTATCTGCCTAGCTATAGGCAGTGGATGCTTACGCTCATGGCAGCTTGGTGGGGTATATATATCCCCAATCTTCCGTTGTTTTCTTCTCCGAGGGATGGCATCTATAAGCCTAAGTACTAACACTCTGACTAGGCATTGGTCAGCTCGTAGCTGGCTTTTTTGCCTGGGCCTTCCTTCCAAATTTTAGCTGCGCAGACCCATCCCTCGATCCCACGGCGGGCCCCTGTACAAAGTCTAACAACCAAGGTTGGCGCTACGTATGGTACGCTTCTGGATCCTTGGTTTTTGTAATGTCTATTCTCCGCATCACCATCATCCGTCTCAAGGAGACTCCCAAATTCCTTGTCAGCGAAGGTAAAGACGCCGAGTGCGTCGAAACCCTCCAATTCATTGCCACCAAATACAATCGACCTTGTAGTCTCACCGTCACCCAGATGCAAGACTGTGGCACCGTAGATCGTATCGCTGCACGTGGAAATCAGAGTAAATGGGGCTTGGGAGAGATCAATATGCACCTCCGCGGCCTGTATTCCACGAAACGAATAGGTATTAGCACATCGTTGATTTGGCTCTCGTGGACGTTGATAGGCCTTGCCTACCCCCGTAAGTGTCTCTGTGCGAACTGCATGTGAGACATACGCTGACTTTGTACACCTTCGTTTAGTCTACAATGTCTTCCTCCCCGCCTACCTCTCATCCCGCGGCG